CCTGTTTACATGTTTTTAAGCACTTTACCCACTGTTAATATTTTCAATCTTCCTGTTTTGTTGCAAATAAATGTTTACATGTTTTAAAGCACTTTAGCTACTGTTAATATTTTAAATATGCCAGTTATGTTGTAAATAAATGTTTGGATATTTAAAACACTTACTGCTTGATCCTTCCCCTGAATCTGTGTCTGGGGTAACGGCTGGGGAGGGTTGGTAGGGGATCTCTGTCAGGGTGATGAAGAGCTCCTGGCTGTCGGGCAAATCAGCGTTGTAAGCGCTGTCTACTGCCTCGTCCTCCTCATCTCCTTCCTCCTCTTCCCCGTCCGCTGAGGAACCGGCCGCGGACAATATCCCATCCTCAGAGTCCACGGTCAGGGGTGGGGTAGTGGTGGCGGCCGCACCTAGGATGGAATGCAGTGCCTCGTAGAAACGGGATGTGTGAGGCTGGGATCCGGAGCGTCCGTTTGCCTCTTTGGTCTTCTGGTAGCCTTGTCTCAGCTCCTTGATTTTCACGCGGCACTGCGTTGCATCCCGGCTGTAGCCTCTCTCTGCCATGGCTTTAGAGATCTTCTCATAGATCTTTGCATTCCGTCTTTTGGAGCGCAGCTCGGAAAGCACGGACTCATCTCCCCACACAGCGATGAGATCCAAGACTTCCCGATCCGTCCATGCTGGGGCCCTCTTTCTATTGGATTGCACGGCCATCTCTGCTGGAGAGCTCTGCATCGTTGCCACTGCTGCCACTGCTGCTGAGCTCGCCACGGTGTCCAAACAGAAACTGCGCTTCAAACTGCCCAGACAGGAAAAGGAATTCAAATTTTCCCGGGGTGTGGCTGGTCAGAGCATCCGAGCTCGGACTGCTGTCCAGAGCGTCAACAGAGTGGTGCACTGTGGGATAGCTCCCGGAGCTATTACCGTCGATTTCCATCCACACCTAGCCTAATTCGATATGGCCATTTCGAATTTAGCGCTACTCCTCTCGTTGTGGAGGATTACAGAAATCGATTTAAGGAGGGCTCTATGTCGAACTAAATGGCTTCGTGGTGTGGACGGGTGCAGGGTTAATTCGATATAACGGCGCTAAATTCGACATAAAAGCCTAGTGTAGACCAGGCCTAACTTGAGTGATATACAGAAGTTCTCCATATTCACTGTCCATACTTGCTAGAAAAGAAGTGAACTGTCTGTGATTCAGCTCTCATGGACGTATAAAATTAACGGTTTTAACAACTATATCCATAACTTCCTTCATTTGTAAACACTGTAGACTACACAGGGCTTCTTGGTGCAAAATGCAATGTATACTGGTGAAGCTAATTCCTGGTATATTGAGGCTGATCAGTCTGGTCTTCAATAATCCAACCACACCAATGTTTTCAGAGCACATTGATGGGGCACCGTCCATAGCCAAAGATATGAATTTGTTCCATGGCAGCGCAGCTTTTTCAATGCACTCTTCCAGTCCTTGAAATTTGTCACGTCCCTTCAGTGGCACTAAGTCTAGCAATTCTTCAGTTATATTCAAACTGCAATCCACACCTCTAATGAACACTGCACAACGTGCAGTATCTGATAAATCTGTACTCTCATCAAGAGCAATTGAAAATGCTTCGAAGTCTTTTGCCATTTGAATCAATTGTTTTTGCACATTACCTGCTAAATCCATTATCCTGCAGGCAACTGTATTGGCAGACAAGGTGATGCCTTCAAAAACTTTCTTCTTATCAGGACATAAAATTTTGCTGGCCTTCACAAGACATTCTCTTACGAATAGGCCTTCTGTAAAAGGCAGCGATGATTTAGCTATCATTTCGCTTATCACAAAACTTGCTCTTACTGAATCTTCGCTAGACTTGTTAATCTCCGGAAAAAAAATTCTTTGCTTAGCAAATGCTGCCGAACTTTTTCCTCTCGGATTTTTCCAGCGAATGAATCATATTTTTCACGGTGCATCGTGTCGAAGTGCCAACGCACGTTATACTCCTTGGGAACAGCAATCGTTTGCTGACAAATAAGGCATTGAATTTTATCTTTTACCTCTGTGAAAAAATATAAATTCTCCCATTTGTCTTAGAAAACTCTTTTCTTCCAAGAGTGTTCTTTTTTTTCAACGAAGTCATTTCCGAGAGGTTTTAATAAAATATAAACACTCAGTAATGCACCTCACTCAAAGGACAAAACACTCATTTACTTTTAGAAGTACTTCTGTTAAAGCTCCCCACTCTGCCCCCATCCCTGCCCCCACTCCACCCCTTCCATGAGGCCCCACCCCGCCCTGCTTCTTCCCACCCCTTCCCCGCCCCCATTCCAACCCCTTCCCCAAAGTCCCCGCCCCAACTCTGTCCCCGCCCCAACTCCACCCCCTCCCTGCCCCTATTCCAACCCCTTCCCCAAAGCCCCACCACGGCCTCGCCTCTTCTCTGCCTCCTCCCCTGAGCATGCTGCGTCCCTGCTCCTCCCCCCTCCCTCCTGGAAAGCCTTAAGCGCAGGGATGTAGGCGGGGGAGCAGGGACACGGCGCACTGGGGGAGGGGAGCTTGGCAGGTTGCAGGAAATAACTCCCGGGGGGGGGGGGAAGGGGAGCTTGATGGGCCACAGGAAATAACGCGGTCCAAGGGCCGTGTGTTTGAGACCCCTGCTTTAGATAATCAAAGTTGAACCTTTATCAAGAATAGCGTCATTCCTCCCCACCACTAACTCCCATACCGTTATATCAACATGGAATATTTTCACTACTAAAGCAGATCGCTATTCTTCCTCACCCCAGCTACCTTTAAAGGTGTAGTTATAGTTTGACAATCCATCAATTTATGATTCTCCCCAAATTAGCAGAGGTCTACTACTCTGTACTGGATTAATTATTACCCAACACCAAAATCAGCCATGATGCTGCCATGCAGGAGGCAATGAGATTTTTTTCCATAAATAATATTAAGCTCTTATATAGCACTTTTCATCCCCAAATATCACAATACTTTATAAAGTAACGTAAGTATCTTTATTCCCATTTCACAGATGGGGATACAAACACAAAGGTGATTTTTCCACAGTCAAACAAAAGATCAGTAGCAGAGCCACTCCCAGTCCAGTACCTGCCCTATCCAGTAGGCCATGTTGCCTTCACCTAGATTAATTTATTAATTTGAAGAGGCCTGTGGAAATCCTAGAAGTCCTGGACTTGGAAGAAACTAGCAGTAAGCACCTACTCTTGAAGATCAACCAATGTTTTGCCATTATGGGAGAGGCTGTGGCCATGTTCAGCTAGATGTGCTTTAAGAACAGTCTGAGGAAAAAAAGGCATCTGAAAGCCAAATGTTTTTCTAGTGCTCATTCATTTTAGGAATTTAAGTTCCAAACAGTTGTTTGTTTATAATATTCCGTGGAAGACTATTCTAACTGAGGACAAGTTTGCTTGGTTTCTAGTTATAATGATGAACCAATATTTCCCGAACTAGATGTTCCTGAAGAATGAGTTAAATGCCATACATCCTCTGGGGACAACGTGATCCTTGGGTTAAATTAATTTTGTACATACAGCTGTTTAAAGGGCTTAGAGGCAGCAACAATTTAAAACGTTTCTGTTTAAAAATGGTTGGGGGGGGGGGAGGACTTTTTTCTAGCATACTTAGTGCATTTGACAGCACATGATGTGTAGTCAGTGTCACTATTCCTCCAGTATAGTCAGTAAGCAACAGGTGAGAAAGAAGTTTAGACAATAGGGAAATGTGATTGCAAAATAATTGGTAGAAGGTAGGTGTTATGCCTGAAACTACGCTTAACTCTTTTTGAGCTGCATAGGTTTCAAGATGATTGTGCGTCTTAATACTTGAAGAAGTGGTCAGGAATGAAGACTTCATGAACAAATATGAATTTATCCAAAAGCCTGTGTCTCTTAGGAAATGGTTGATTTGTCTCCCAGTGTTTTACATGTGCCACTACCTTAGGCATGCATAAATTACATTTTTAAATCTATGTTAAAGTGAAAACTAACTGTGCCATTTCATCTGCATTAAAAAAATGCCAGAGATAATCTGAATCACTGTATTTGGTTATGTATGCTGCAAATTTAGAAAAGGTCAGCAGTTTTGAAAAATCTGAAAGGTTCAATGCAAAACTGACTGCTGCTGTTCAAGTCAGTGAACATGATCTTAGTGTATTACATAGTCTAACTACAATAAATATTAAAATATACATTAGAAGAAACTTATCAGAACAGGGAATCATTAGGAGGAACTGCATTTCTTGTATGGATATTGCACGACACTCAGTTAAAAAAATTCTTTCTGAAAATGATACAAGGAACAAAGGATGAAGATAACATTCCTCTGGCTGCTGAGAAGCTGGAGCTGTAAACCTCTGAAAGATGGTGGGAGAAGTAGCAAGTAAAGTAAATCTATTTTGTTCATACATCCTACCCACCTGTTATACATGAATTCCCTTTTCAACCGTAGGAACGTGCTGCAGTGCATCTCCCAATGTATCAGGCACCCTTGAGGAACAGGCTACCTTACACACTGACTTGAACTAGCCTAATACGTTCTGATTCTCCTCACCAAAGGCAATGAGACAGTTTGGTCTGAACTGGTTGGGAAGTGGGGCAAAGCCGAGAAATTGTCAGACAAGGGAAGAGTTAGGATCGCTTGGTGTGAGACTCTTTGGGGAGTGACGGGGGATTTACTGGTGAGATAACTAACACCCATATTGCATACCCGCTGTTGCTCACTATGTAGTAGTGTAGTATGAGCATTTATTATGTAACTACTAGTCCTTTAGTACTCATGTAATAAAGCTACAATACAATCAAAGAGTACAAAATGAATGGAGATTTTAGCAACATGGTAAATTGGACTCATCCTTCAGAACAGTATACAGTCAACTCCAGTGAAATGCTACATGTTGAAAGTCAAACAGAATTGTCTATCACAGAAACTGCCATACACACGCATGAGTTCAATGGAACTACATTTTCATTGTATTTCATATCAAGATAGCACTTGCCTTTTAGTTTCACATATTGCAATTCTGGGTTAACACAGAGGGCCAAGTTACTAGGCAGGGTCCAGGGGGTAGTTGTCCAAGCAACAAGAGAGACGTTTTCATCTTCATCCAATGGGAAGCTCACAATCACCGAAGGATCTTGAACATCCTTAAATGAAACAGAGATAGGGAGACAGATATGAAAGGTTTCTTGTGAGTTGGCGAGAACACACACTCCAAGGAAAAGCAGTGACAGCTGTTGTCACTCAGTTACCTGGTTCCTTTAGTGCCCTGCAACCTGGCTTGTCAAAAAACTCAGTAAGAGTGAATGCAGATGAGAACCAATTTAAGCATGTCTCTCCACCTCCCCCGTGTAGGCTACTTGACCAAATCACGAGGGACACAACTGCCTCAACATAGTCAGAGTTTATTTCTAAAGGCTGAGAGTTGGGTGCCTGACTCCTTCAGATGCCTTTGATAATCCCAACCTAAGATTATATAAAAATAATCCAAGATCATAACTGGTTAAAGGTTTCCTTCATAGTTTAATAATTTTTCTATAGCTGCTGAAATCTGGAGTTCAACATTCACCTAGTTTGTCCCAGGGGACCAGGAGTTGGGAGGACAAGCTATCACTTGAGAAAAATTTCTCCTGGCAGGCAACTATTTTTAACCAAGGCACATAAACTATATGTCCTTAAGCATAGGAGTACATGGATGTTTAAAACATAATGCACAACTGACAGATGGTTTTCTACCTCAGCCTCCAAGAGTCCTGCCTTCAATCAAGTCAAAGGAATCCCTTTGTATTATTAATATCAGTGTTACTCTAAGAGAAGTTGTCTCAGACACATTAGAGAGAGTCAGTGGTGCAAGTAAGCAGGTACGGTCAGATACAGCATACCATTAAGATATTTATTGCCGGTACACCGTACTGGAAAGACATTTTCAGAACCGCAGGGCACTCCTGGGAACCGCAGCGGTGAAAGGAGCAGAACGTGGGGTTGCCACTCACAGTAGCCAGTGCCCCGCGCCGGCAGCTCCTCTGGCGCAGCTGTAACAGTACCGCCCTCAGCCCCTCCCCCAGCCCTGTCCTCTGGTGAGGCTGTACAGACCCCAGACAAGAGACACAGCTGCATGGAAGGGCTGGGGCAGTATAGCCCGGAGCTGCTTGCGTGGTGCCACCATGCGGCCTCACGTTCTGCTCTTTTGGCTGCTGCAGTTCCCGGGAGAGCCCTGTGGGTCCGAAATCAGTATCTGGTGCAGCGGGAGGACAGAGCTCCCCCACCTAGCCCCCAGGTAACATGGGATGGGGAGGGGACGGGGAGAGCGTGGGGGCCCCAGGCTGGGAGGGGTCACATGGCGGGGAGGGTGGTCACGTGCCCCCCCCTTTAGCTCATGCTCCCCTTTGTGTCCATCCCATGACTTGCCTATGCATACCGGTGAGAATTAAAATCTCCTCGCACCACTGGAGAGAGTGAAGCACTTGAACAAGTTATAGTTTCTGTATTATCAATACTATTGGACTGTGGAAGACCTTAAATGAAGTTATGCCCTGATAAAGAGCCCAGAGTCTTACAGGATTAACATTTTGCATAATTGTGTAAGGAATATTTCCAACAGGCAAAATTTAAAGAGCAAGTGTTACTCAAACCCCAAATCTTTTGAAGTAACATCAGTTTTATGGCTAGAATCTAAAGTGGCAATACAGACCTACTATACCTCTGTGAGCTTGTTACCTAATGGCAGCATGCAGGAATGGTAACATTTTTGTTATAGAACTAAAGAACAAGTTTGCTATTTTTGTAACTAAAAGTAACAGCATTATCAGGCTCCATGATAGATTTTTAATGTGGAGTTTGATTATCTTTATAAACCTCAAACTGTGTCCATTTATCTTTCCTACCTACTTCACAGGGGTGTTGTGTGAATAACTTAATGCTTGCACGACTTGGCAAACAAATACTACATATACATTGAATATTTAGTAAGCACAAGTCTTCAATTAGTGCTCTGATCTAAATAGATAGCAAACTAAACAGGGTTGGAAAGGTCACTGCTCTAATAAAAAACCTTCAGGTGAAACCTAGATGGATATCTGAAGTTGTTCAAGTAAGTAGACAGCACTTTTCTTTCTGAATTGTTGGTGAAACAACAGCCCCCACTGCAACATGGTACTAGTCGGCCCTGTAACGTTAGAGGTGCCGCCTGGTAAATGAAATATGAAAACCTGAAGATACGACCTCTTTTGTTTGCAAGAGAAGTGTGTTATCTGTAAAGTCCCTGACAAAAAGGTACATGGGCAATGTTCTTCTGCCTGCCTAAAATCTCTCTGGAGTTTCAAATGAGCAATTTATTCTTCACTTTCCCTCCTAAATAATTGGCTCCTGCATTCCACCCATAAAGGATACCACTTCCATGGCAAGAAAGCTGATCCTTTGGTGTACTGTACAGTCTCTCTTTAGTTTGTGTGCTATGAAATCATTAAATTTAGCAAAATATGCAATGCTTTCCAAAGCGAAAAGCTCCAAGCTGCATTAAAAAGCTTTCTTAGGGCATTTTTACAACACCTAACAAATTAACATCATATGCATAAACCAGGAACACTCAAACAGATTATGTCACATTGCCATTTGTGCACTGAAAGCATCCCTGGCTCCTCTCCAGCAACACAGCTCAGAATAGGTAATTCCATTATGGAATGGGCAGCTATTTACGTCAAAGCTAAGGGCTGCTTCAGAAGGAATTCTTTCTATAAGCAGGTGGGGTGGCAACAGTCAGACTCAAACAGTTATGTAATGCTTGGATTATGAGCAATACCCAGTGAAGACTATGCTATCAATAAAATTTAGTCTCTACCAATTGTTAGACAAAGACTATGATGTTTCTAACCAGCTTGTTCTAATGTTTCACAAAGTACTAAACATGCCAAGCAACTCAACAAAATCCTGGCAGTCTGAAAGATGAATCTTGTTACATTTACAAATGAAATAATTGCTTAGTATTTCTCTATTTGAGTTATCTCAGTTTCCTTTACAATATACTTTTCTTTACTCAGACACAAAATGACTGGAATTTTATTTATTTTTCAATTGTGAAAGTTTGCTACATGGGGGCTTCCTCTAAGCACACTTATAGTTTCTGTTACACATTAAAACGGGGTTTTATACTATACAGTAACTCCTCGCTTAACGTTGTAGTTATGTTCCTGAAAAATGCAACTTTAAGCGAAACGATGTTAAGCGAATCCAATTTCTCCATAAGATTTAATGTAAATGGGGGGGGGCGGTAGGTTCTAGGGAAATTTTTTTCACCAGACAAAAAACTATATATTATATAGATATACAAACAGTATACGTTTTAAACAAACAATTTAATACTGTTCACAGCTATGATGATTGTGAAGCTTGTTTGAGGTGGTGAAGTTAGAGGGTGGAAGAGGGAAGGATATTTCCCAGGGAATGCCTTGCTGCTAAATGATGAACTAGCACTCGGCTGAGCCCTCAAGGGTTAACACATTGTTGTTAATGTAGCCTCTCACACAAGGAAGCACGAACAGGAGGGACGGGAGACAGCATAGCAGACAGAGACAGACACACATCTTGTGTGTGGGGGAGACAGAGAAAGAGATGCACACTGCTCCTTTAAGTAAGCTGACCCACTCTAAAGTGCATTGTCTTTTTAAGTGGATGAGGAAGTGGAGACAGCAGCTGCTGCCCCAAGCTCTCTGTGTCTCTCTCCGTCTGTTGGTGTCCCCTCCCTGCTCTATATGGAGAAGGGGTAAGCGGGGTGCAGGGGGAGGGGGACACCCTGACATTAGCCCCTCCCTCCCCCCCTGCACAGCAAGCAGGAGTCTCTGGGAGCAGCTCTAAGGCAGAGGGTGGGAGCAGCTCATGGCAGTGGGGGGAGGGACAGCTGAACTGCCGGCAATTGATAGCCTGCTGGGCGGCTGCAGCACAGGGAACTTAGGGGGAGCTGATGGGGGGCTGCCAGTCCACCCTGGTTACAAGCCCACACCAGCTAGCTGCGACGGGCTGCTCTTCCTGCAAGCAGTGGACAAAGCAGGCAGCTGCCAAACGACTTTAGAAGGAAGCATTGCACAACTTTAAACAAGCATGTTCCCTAGTTGATCAGCAAGGTAACAACGATACAACGTTAACCAGGACGACTTTAAGTGAGGAGTTACTGTACTAATAATATCCTGCTTCATTGCAGAAGTTCATGATTCCATTTCCTTCTTTCGTTTCCTGAAACAAGGGCTAAGGAGTAGCTTTACTAATGGCACAAGAGAAGGCAGAGGAGCAACAAGTGGTATTTAAGCTGCAATACTGGATCTCAGATCACAGAATTCAATTCTCCTCCCACAACTCATCTGCTAACTTTGGTAAGTTACAGGTGTGGCTGCTGAGCTGCCAGCTAGATCTCCCCAGAAGATCAGATTCAATATACAGGGAATCCTCTGCTGAGGTGAGCAGGAAAGGTGCAGTGTAAAATATTCACTGTAGAAACCCAACACAGTGAGGTACACAAAAATGTGTGAGGAAGAGTGGAGCAATTTCCCAGATCAAAAACTGTGAGAATGGTGAAAGGGGCAACAAATAATGACCAAAGGAACTGTCAGAAAAAATCATAGCAGGACATATACATGACTAAGCCAGCTCTTTACTAGCACTATTCTATCAGTTTTGAGTATGTCGATAAGCTTACATTCCACCCAACTGAAGTATTTAAGCTTTCCAGTCCAAAACAGACACTCACTCCAATGTGACAGAGCAGTTACAGGGGTCAGATTATTATACATACATATAGACAATGATATACCTTGTAGTTCTGGTGAGCCTCAAAATTCGAAAGAGGAGTGTTACATGCTGTGGAGAAAGGCATAACCTTAACGCCTCTGTAAACCAGTCCTTTGTCATACAGCTGTTTGAAAACCCACCTAAAAGTAAATAAGGAACATATAATAACTTAATAGTTTAAGATTCAAACTAAAGGCAGCTGTAGTGTAGGATTATGATGCAGTAGGGAAGGTATTCTGAAAAGTTCAAATAATTTTCCAACTACAGACAATATTTACTACTTGAAACACCGAACTCAAAGCATCTGCACATACATATACAAGTCGTATCTTGAAACAATATAAATACTTAATGCCACTACGACATTTTTATTGTGAATATTCTTTAAGTTAGATTCAGCTTTGGGTCATCCTGCCAGCTCTGCCTTGCATGCACAACACATGGCAATATTCAGATGGGATATAAATCACTGTAACAGTTGAATCTTTCCCCAACTGCCTGCTTGGGGACCATAAAACTTAAATTTCAGTGATTAACACAAAATGCTTTCCTCAAGAGGCCACATCTAGGCAACTAGGTTTGTTTAGAGAACAAGAAGTTTTGTGATTCCATGAGTTACATTCATGAATCATTGTATAACACTTTCCATCCCAAAAGACCCTTGCTTCACCAGCTATATGTATGGCACCATGCATCATTGGCAGGGGAGAAAATAGTGGATTTTTGGCAACCCAGGTGAATGATGGCTCTTCAAATAGTAGGCAAAGATCTTCACCGTCTACACTGTACACCTTTATTTGTAAAGCCTCATTCAAGAGACTTGCATATTCAGTGACACAGTTCTCCAAGGGCTCAAATTATCACATCGGAATCTGGGCCTGTGGTCCTGGAGAGTCTAGTTATTTTGTAGTTGGATGATCAGACTATTCAGCCATCGCTACTGACTTTAAAAACTCTTGAACTCTCCCACCCATGCTACGTTTTCAAAGCATTGTTAACATTTTCAGTGTTTCCTTCCAGATGAACATCTTATTAACATGCAAGCAAACACACAGAGTGGTCTTGTTAAATAGTATGTTTATGAGATCAAACTGCACTGGGTCACGCTGTTTTGGCAATTGGTCCTTTTTTCTGTACGCCATCATTTTGTGCTTCAGAATCTATGCATTCATTTAAACAAAGATCTTTTGCTCTTATGTTTAGGATAACCATTCAACATGGGAAATCAATTCCAACAGCTACAGTGTTATCAGTCTGCAGCCTGAATCAACAGCATTGAGAGATATGAACTGGCCTATTGACAATGAAGCCTAATGATAACCTAATAATCAGAAATGTCAACTATTACACTGCAGACAGGAGAAATTAGAGACCACATTATGAAGATCTGCACAATCTACTGAAAGTGGCATCCATGACCCAACAGTAGTAGACCAAAAGTTCAGTGAGGACTTTAATCCACTCCAGGGAGCAAAGTGCAGCATCCAAGCACCACCAAGAGGAATCAAGTCTCAGAAGCCCGGAGGAGCATCCAGCCACAACCAGGGGGAGCCAAAAACCAAAGAGTTGAGCAAAGCTTGCAGGATCTTATCATGAACATCTGCACAATCCATTGAGCATGCCTTCTCAAACTGGTAGGGCTCAGTTTCTAGAAGGAGCTGAAGAGTAGTACTATTTACCCACACAGAATTTGATCCCTAGGCATATATTCCCCCACTCTCACCCCAATTCAAAGAACTATTCAAGTGCACATTATGAGACACATTCTTTCCCCTGCCCAAGTACATATAATTCTGGTCTGGAATAAAGGTGCTCTGAATGTGAGGAAGCCAAATAGTTGACCACCTTGACATGGCTACCTTTATGTTTTGTTCTATGCATTCCTTTTACAATTTGATCATTACTCCTAAGAAAGGAGATATACCTGCTAAGTTTATAAAAAGAGCATCATTACTAGGACTTAATTTAAAGCTACCAACCATTCAAGCAATAATGTAGCCAAAGTGTAGTGAGAATTTTTTTATTGATCTGCACTTTCAAGCATAGGTATTTCAGTATCCTAACTAGGAAAGCTCTGTTGCAACTGAGCAAAAGTATAAATTTTCATTTTATGTTTTATCAACTTAAGCTATATTAAATGACTTAGTTGTGATAAGTCACTGATTTTGGATTTATTCTTCAATATTCTTGCATTTGCCTTCTGAAAAGTGTTGATTAGAATATTATAAGATACACAAAAGATGTCCAATTTATTTTTTATTTCTTTCCTAAAGGGATATAGCTTACTAATCCCACAGAGGAAAACAGTTCAGTGCCACATCTATGAACATTTAATGACTGCTTAGATGTACTTGTAGCCTTAACAAACAAACAAAAAAAATCAGAGAAGGGGGACCACTAGGTGGAGCTACAAAATTCAAATACAAATGAACAGTCTCCTCTTGTGGTAATTTTATTCAACTGCAGTTTAAAAGCTTCAATTTTTTCCCCACTACCAGGTAGACAGTATTTAGCTTTCAAAATGCATTCCCATTCAGAGATCTCTAAACAGAGGTTACTACATCTCACAGTAAAAAATTGTTTGTTTTTAAATTTCCATTGTCAAAGGATATAGTCATTTGTATTCAGAGCAGACTACACTATAGGGCAGGGGTTCTCAAACTGGGGGTCAGGACCCCTCAGGGGGTCATGAAGTTATTACATGGGGGGGTCACGATCTGTCAACCTCCACCCCAAACCCCGCTTTGCCTCCAGCATTTATAATGGTGTTAAATATATTTAGAAGCTTTTTTAATTTATAAGGGGGAGGGGGGTCGCACTCAGACTTGCTGTGTGAAAGGGGTCACCAGTAAAAAAGTTTGAGAGCCACTGCTATAGGGTCATAAAAACAGATCGTTGCTTGATGAAATTGCCTGTGTTACCACCATGACAAAAATATATTTGTCATCTCTGAACTATACATAATTGTCTTTCTATCAAAGTATCAGTCACTAGGAGACAACAAAATAGACAGGATGTAACTTTTGTTGCTAGCAGCATTCCCTACCCCAAACCAGCACACTAAGCATCAGCACTTTTGCTTAGATCTAAAAAAAAATAAAAGCCAGTTACTACTTGCAAGTGGAGAGTCCTTTAATTCATCTTTATGTGCCTAAATTAAGCAAGATATATTTGATGGCTAGTCTGAAAGAGGCATTAGGCTTGTGATCCTGGCATAGAGAAACAGCAGCCCTTTCTGGAAGGTCAGCAATACTACAGGGAAGCATGCAGAAACTTCTTGTGCCACAGGTCACTTCTGTGTGCAAAGGAAATAGTTTACACACACACAAAATATTTAAAACAGAAAAATCTATTCCCTTGAATTTCACTCTATAAACAATATTAGACAGGTGAACCCACACTTCTGATCGCCATCTTAAGCATCTGCAAACTGACGACCTAATTCTCAAAAGACACACTGAACTCCTACCAAACAATGGGATTTGCAGGTGCTGAGCACCTCTTGGGATCTGGCCCTGAGCCCCATATTCTGATAAGCACTATATTCACAAATAAAAAACACAAACAACAAAAAAAACCCACACACAAAGTAACAATCCACCCCCACAACACATCACAAAGCACAACCCACAATGGGGTTTGGCACCATAGTTTTGGGCAGTTGAGATCACATTTAACCTTAATCTGGGTACCAAGAAAACTGTCACAAATCTGTGCTTCAGAGGAGCCTGAAGCCTGTTATCCTGAAAGCAAAGATTTCCCCAATTCTCATACAACCAGCAGGCCACCTACCACGCAGTACATCCTTCAACATATCTCCCAGATGCAAAGAAGTTGTCCTGCATACACACTTACACCCCACATGACAGGGAAGTAGCTCAGTGGACCACTCTGACGGGGAGTCTAATATCTAAAAGGTCCTTGTGGAATTATTCTCAAGCCCATTGCTTTAGAGATTTATCTAGTTGCAGGTTTAGCATCTTGCCTATTCTGGATCAGGGAGTCAGAGATCTGAAACCATTTAGGATTCTTTGCTCTCAAGAAAGGGAAAGCAATCCCTTCCACTATTCAAGGTAGTTTGGGAAACAAGACTCTCAAAATCATCACAAGCCAACATTATAGCCATGTGGGAGGGGGGGGTTGCAGTTGTTCTTTAAGGCAACAAGGACTTGCCTGTTAAACAGGATTAAATAATAAGGCTTAGGCAAGGAGTCCAGTACTGTCATTAGCCATAGAAAAAGCAACTCAGGATGATTAGGGCTTTTTTTTTTTTTTCTTTTTTCTTTTAAAGAAAAGTCTTTTAGAGTGCAACATCAGGGTCTACACAGACATTTAGTGTGGAGCAGGCTAGTGCAGAGTAGATTTACAGCCCAGCTTACCACAAACTAAGTGCTCATGTAGACATGCCCATAGACCAGTGCTTCTCACACAGCTGGTCCGCCGTTTGTTCAGGGAAAGCCCCTGGAGATCCGGGCCGGTTTGTTTACCTGCCACATCCGCAGGTTCGGTCGATCGCGGCTCCCACTGGCTGCGGTTCGCCGCTCCACGCCAATGGGGACTGCGGGAAGCGGCGCGGGTCGAGGGATGTGCTGGCTGCCCTTCCCGCAGCTCCCATTGGCCTGGAGCGGCGAACCACAGCCAGTGGGAGCTGCGATCAGCCGAACCTGCGGATGCGGCAGGTAAACAAACCGGCCCGGACTGCCAGGGGCTTTCCCTGAACAAGCGGCGGCCTGACTTTGAGAAGCACTACCATAGACTGTTTTTAAATTCAGCCATATTCAGGACTGAAGCTTTCAGAATTAGACTCTAGATGGTGCTATTACACAACTATTTGAAAAAAGCGCCGATCCACATAAACATTGAGAAACATTCAAGGTCAACAGGCCGCAAAATATATCCTCCTTCTGATATTTAAGAAAAGATCAGGACATGTTGGAATCCAAAACAGATTTTAATATAAGAGCCACAAACACACTTAAAATCCTTGCTGATAAATAGGGTGGGGTCAAACAGGCGTATTGGGATATTTCTCTATTTCTAATTTTCATACTGCCTCCATTCTTATAAGCCAGCAGAGAATAGACAGTGGCACATTATGTCTTCCTAGCAACCATTCTGATCTTTGATTGTTATAATAAGT